TCCCGCACCCGCGCCGCCGCCGAGTTAGTTGGGCCGGTCCCAGCGCACTCCAGTCCCGACGGGGTCCCCGCGGGCCACCTGCACCCGACCCGCAGCCCCCCCACCCCGGGAAGTGTGGGGTCGCCCCTTGAGGGGTGGCCCCGGAGACTGCCCCGTCCCCGTCCGCGGTGGCCCGGGGGGTGTGGGGACAGCCCTTATCTTGCTCGAGTTTTCCACTAGTCCGGGGACCCCGGGCGGCCCCACCCGCGCCCCCCGGCGCTCTGACTCGCGTCCCCAAACCGGTCTTGCAGGTCCCAGGAAGGTGGCGTCAGCATCTGCTGCAGCCGCGTCGACGTTGTCGGAGTCTCGGCCGAGGACCCAGGAAAACCGGACTGGGACCAGGGCCCCGGGCCTCACCGCGCTCCCCATGGAGAAGCCTGCAGCCTCCACAGAGTCCCCAGGGCCTCGACCAGTCCTGGGCCGAGAAAGTGTCCAAGTGCCGGACGACCAGGACTTCCAGAGCTTCCGGTCCGAGTGTGAGGCCGAGGTGGGCTGGAACCTGACCTACAGCAAGGCCGGCGTGTCAGTGTGGGTGCAGGCTGTGGAGATGGATCGGACTCTGCACAAGATCAAGGTAGGGTTGCTCTACTGCACCTGCGGCGGCGGCGGCGGCGGCCACTGCACCGGACTGCCTCTGGTGATACCTCCAGCCACCTGGGGCGGGGGTGCTCTGGGTCCAGAGAGGGCTGCTGAGCCAAGCCCCCATCACACAGATGGGCCAACTGAGGCCTGGGGGGAGGAAATGTGACTCATCTGGCTCTTCAGCTGAACCAAGTCATGCCTCTGTCTGTTTGGGGAGGGGAGGCTTCCACCAGAACCTCTATACTTAACTCATCCACCTAGCCCCTTGACTTGAGTCAACTCAGGCAGAGACTGGACGGATGCCTTTTTCTCCCTAATTCTTGATTCTCTGCCTGACTCCTACCTGACTCTGCACCCTTCGGTGCCAGAGAGCTGATTTCTCCTGCCAAGTCCCGTGTTCTTCCCTTCCCTCCCCAACAGTTCCCCTATTTCCAAGTTTCCAGTATCTCCAAGTCTCCAGCAGGGGCTCAGTCAAAACTGGCAGATAACTCAAGGGAAGGGCTTCGATGTTGCTAACCTCACACTGGGCCAGGCTTGGGGTAAGCAGGCAACCTGGGGTCAAGGAAAGCCAGCTTAGGGAGTAGTTGCAGATGATATCAGCCCCTCACAGCCATCTCCTCTCTCAGGCATGACAGGGCAGGTACAGCGTTTGATGGCACGAAGGCTGGTGAAGCCTCTGGTCTAGGGATCTCAATCGCTGGCCATGACACATCTGGCATTGCTGGGAGTGCCACATTTCAAGGGTAGAAGATTCCTGAAGAAGTCTGTCCCCTAGCCGCCCTCTCCTGCTTATGCTGTCCTCCTGGAGCATTGAAGGGGAATAGGGGATAGGGGATGCATTTCTATTTCCAGAGGCCCAGGACACTGGACTCCTTAGAGTCTCCTGCCTGGGGCTTGGTTTCTGACTTAACTTGGACATGCTGGCCTCACACCAGGATCCTGGGTCTCTGACCTTTCCCCTCTGACCCCGTGCCTTTCCATCTCATTTTGCCTTAATCATTTACAGCTTTGTCTGTCTATCCCCAAATGGTCTAGCCTGCTCTTTCTGCCTTCCCCATCCCCCTCTGTGTCTCTTTGTCTGTATCCCAGCTATCTGACTCTAGGTTGACATGTACAACTCCCCCGCTGGGTCTCTGCCCAGGCTCAGCAGAGGCCTTTGAGCCTGAGCTTCTCTGAGGCCTAACCTGTGTCTGAACCCCAGCAGCAGAGAAGGGAAAAGCAGTTGATAGTTCCAGCTTGAGCCCAGGGGACAGGTCTTTTCTTCCTCATAATGTCCAATAGGGAAGGAATGTTGTTGGATAAGGAACAAAGTGAATGGAAGGTGAGCAATGAGCTTGGCTGTGACTGGAGAAAGACTTAAGGCTGGCAAGGGGTTAGGAAGTGTAGTTTCTCCCATGGGGTTGGCTCTCCAAGGGGAGGAAAGGGGAACTTGCTTCCACCCTCTGTCAACAGGGCAGAGCTGCCTTCTCCATCTGGCTTGGTTAATGAATAAGCCCAATCCAGCCCATGATGGGAGTTGGCCAATGTAGGGGACCAGGCTGCTGCAGACCCCTGTGAGAGGGGGTCTGACTTGGGATAAAGGGAACTTGAAGAAACTCCTGGGGTATATGGGCTTCTGGGCAGAGTGTATACCTCCTCCCCCCGCAACAACCAGGACCACAACTTCCCTTTCTCTTAGGCCAAGTAGAGGCTAGTGCCAGGTCACCCCACATAAAGCCTCTCCCCTCACTTGGTGTACTGATGAGTATACTGAGGGTCAGGGCACAGCCAGTGACATATCTAAACCTCCAAAAAGCAGACCTAGGGCCTAAATGAGTTAGCCTTCTAATTCTCACCCTAGCATTTACTTTTATACTGATGCCATAGTAGAGGAGGTGAGCAAACCCTAGGCACAGGAAGGAGTTAGGCTATGGACATCACTAGGAGCAAGATTCCTAGACCTGGGCCTCTCAACATAGTAGATAGAATTCTGGGAGATGGGTAGAGACCTCTGAGCTTCCTGTCCTATGATTCCAGGACTCTCAGGTGCCTGGAAGCTAATCTGATTTCTCCTAAAAGCACTTGCTCCGAGCCAAGCATTTTCTCCCAATCATCTAATTTACCTTCCAGCCAATCCTGGGCTAAAGTTGGCTTGTCTCTCTTGTTTCAGACAAAGAAACTGAGGTAGAGAGAAGTGATAGTACTTGCCTAAGGTCACACAGCAGCTCAGGCAAGAGTGGATAGAACCCAGGCAAGCCTGGCTCCTGGCTCCAAAGTTCCTGTCCCTCTCTGCATGGGTACACATCCTTAGGCAACATTGTGGCCTTTAACCCCATCAATAAAGCTTTGAAGGCATGAAGAACTTGATGTTCTTATCATCCTATTCTTGTTTGATGGATGACAAAACTGAAGCCCACAAGGGGGAGTGGCTTGCCAAGGTCATAGAACAGGTCAAAGGCAGAGTCCCAGATGTTTGTTCAACTTCTGCCCCTTTCTCTCCCCTTCCCTCCCCTCCATCCTGCTCCAAAAAATACTTTGTGCTTGTGACTGGGGGGAGAGGTCCACCTACTTATTTACCTGATTGATTCCCTCCTCCTCTTCTTACATTTTCTCCAGAAGTCCCTGGAAGCCTCCGTGGTTCTGGGCTTAGCAGTCAGAACCACGACAAAGCAAAGGGGCTGTTGGCAGCCATCTCCAACCTTTTCCCTCCCTTCTGGCCCCCAGCCTGGCTTGGCCTCGGGCCTGCACTATGCTCTGGACAGGAGATAGAGACTGCCTCCTGAAAGTAAATATGAATTCTGGGTACAAAGCAAAGGACAGCTTAGAACCTGAACCCAGGCCTCCCCAAATCCAGGCCTTCTTCCCCATAGTGCCATTAGTGGGGTGACACATGGCAAATGTGTCATTCAACCAGAGCCAGTTGGAATACAGCCCTGCATGTGGTGTCCTTTCTGTTGTGTGTGACCTGGGCACATCCTGCCCGCTCTGGGTTGCCTGTCCACCTGCCATTGGGCCCCCCTAATTCCAAAGACATCTGAACTCAGTGCCTGTGCCAGAGCCCATGAGAAAGATGAGGAACAGGAGGATGGATACCATATGACATGGCCTGCCCAGCTCTGCCCTGGATACCATATGCTGAGGTCTCCTGATCTGCTGCATACCCATCGCTATGTGTGGCTTACCATGTGAGAAGCAAAGGCAAAGACCTGATTCCTTCCTCAGTTTTCAGATCTTGGTTGAGATGAGACAGATAATTCCAGGTGGCCCCTGACAATTGCACACAACATAGGTTCATTGGCAGCCCACTGAGACAGGAGTAGGCTGGGATGGCAGGAGCCTTGAGGGGGGTTGGGGGTAGAACAGGTGTAGGAAGTCTCTTAGGGGACTACAGTATGACTGAAAACCTGGTGATTCTCTTGTGGAAGGAAGCTGAGCAATGGAGACCTGTCTCATCTGACTTTCTCTCCCACAGCCCTTCTTCTTCCCCTTTGGCAGAAGCTCTAGGAACTCTGTCCAACCCTTTCTCACTATCCACTTGCCCTGCACCACAGGACCCCTGTATTCCAGGCTGCCACACCAGTGCTTAGATCTTACTCCCTCTTACCCCTCAAAAGCTCATTCTCTACCCCTGCCCCTGTGACATTCTCAGTAATGTCTGAGGGCCCTTCCCGTTCTTTTTTTCTTCTTCTTTTTTTTTTTTCTGTTCATTAGTGGGGCTTGAACTCTGGGCCTGAGCGCTGGCCTGTGCTCTTCAGCTCAAGGCAAGCGCTCTACCACTTGAGCCACAGTGCCACTTCCGGTTTTCTAGTGGTTTATTGGAGATGAGTCTCATGGACTTTCCTGCCCAGGCTGGCTTTGAACCTCGATCCTGAGATCTCAGCCTCCTGAGTAGCTAGGATTACAGGTGTGAGCCACCGGCGTCTGGCCCCTTCCCACTCTTTTTTTTTTTTTTAAATTTATTTTTTCCCTTCCCACTCTTTAATAGACTCAAAAGTTTTCTTGGAAAATGGGGGCAAAGCCAGGGCATCTTCTGAATTCTTTGCAACTGACCTTTAGGGTGGTGGCACTCATTAGCCCCATGTGGTAGACATAGAAAGTGAGGCTCAGAGCAAGAGTTTACTTGTGCAAGGTAAACAGCTAGAAGTAGCTGGAGCTGGATGAGAAAACAGGACCTTGGGCCACCAGGGCTGAGTTCTCTCAACACTTTGGCCTTGTTATTAGCACAGTTTGGACCTTTTGTACCTAGGACCCCATGGAGTTTCACTGTCTGTCCTTGTCTCCCTGTGCTGTGTCATTGTGGGAGGGCATCCTGGAGTGGACCGAGCTGGGTGAGAGCCCAGTCCTCACTATGTGACCTTGGGGGTCACTTCACCCTTCTGGGTCTGTTTTCTTATCTGTGGTGACGGGGTGGGAGTTAGTCCGTGTTCACAGCCTCGAACTGAGTCAGTTCTGATCCTGGCTTGGCCTTTGTTCCCTCTGGGACTCAGTTTCCCTATTTCTAACAGGAAAGTGTTGGATAGTTTTCTAGAGACTATGGTGGTTTCTAGAGACTGTCTTAACCTTAACCAAGAACAGAGGAGGATTGCACCGATGGGTACAGGGTAAGGACAGATGGCAAAAGCCATAATAGTGTTTCAGCAAGGAGGCTCCTAGATGGGCACTTGAATCCAAGATTAGGCCCTAAAGACTCCTATCCTGGCTCTAGCTCAGACTTGACAATGGGGACAACCAGAAGAAGGGGTTCCATAGCTGTCCTGGGTACCAGGCTCCTAGAGAGCAAGTACACTTCTGGTGGTTAGAGTCCAGACTATAGAGCTCAGACTCCAGAAAGGTCAGAGGTGACCGGGGTTGTTGGGGAGGCCTTCCTGGCATATCATATCATTGGATATGAAGATATGGGAGGAGTATAGGCTCTGAGGCCAGGCACTAGTGGCTTACACCTATAATCCTAGCTACTCAGGAGGCTGAGATCTGAGGATTGTGGCTCAAGGCCAGCCTAGGCAGGAAAGTCCA